TTTGTTCATTGACGTTACTATACAGGTATTGTAATTTTGTTTAAAAAATACTAAATATGTTTAGTTATTTTAAAATTACAAAATATATTTTACAATTTTACTGAACTGAAGAAAATTCGTTTCGCAATATTACAACACAAATATTGTTCCTACAGACAGCTAGACAGATAGACCTATTTTGGGTCTTATCAATGTCGGGCAATTTGGTGTATTGGAACGCACCAAAAACGAAAGACACCTGAGCTTATATACTGTCCGCCTAAGTCAACCGAGGCGAGATGTAAGAACATCACGTGATTGCCGAAATCGGTGCATACTATGCATTTTACATAACATTATAGCAAATCAAATTACAAACGACGTTTGTAAATCTGAGATGCTTTTTATTTGAAACTGTCAAACTGTTTAGTAAAATTACAATGCGTGTAGGATTTATACATATAGATTGTAAAATTACAACTTATCTTAGTAGATTTCCCAACATGTCTTGGAAGATTACTCAAATTGTGTTATAATTTTGTATTGGTATACACTGATTTGTAATTTTACTCATCCTTTGTTTTGCAAAACAATTTTTATCAGTATACATGATATGTAGTGAAAATGCAAACAGAAGTTGTATAAAATAAATAATGATTTGTATATTTCCAAACACGTATTGTAATTCAAATAGCAAATTTTTGTTGGTAATTTTATTGATTATCTTAGTAAAATTAAATTCCGAATATGTATAGAAATATTACAAAATTTCAATCAAATTTAATTCTACAATACAGAATTGTAAAATTACTGCAAGTATCTGACAAAAACAAAAACATTGTGAAATTGAAAATGTAATATTACAACAAATACGTATTAAAATTGCAATACAATACAATATTTTGTAATTTGACTATGCAATTGATCAGTAAAAATGTAGTAATTTTGTTTTTCCTATGGTTTAGATCTCAAAAAGGATCAATATTTAGAATGTTTTTTAGTTAAAATAACTTTCTACAACCGCTTTTAAAGTCCTGCTTATAAAAACGGTTGCTTTGAACAAAAAAGAAAGAAACAATAATTGGTTTTGGGTATATCGTACCGCTATAACACATAAAAAAGACATACAATTTTATGGCGTAGTTTCACTTTCATTTTATGAAAATTGAAAAAAAAAATAAACAATTTAGTTGTTTGGTTTCGAAACAAAAGCAATATAAATGTGTATTGAATGATAAGTTGTTCCTTGTTATAAAAAAATAAATAAGTACTTAAAGATTTTGTTTATGAAGTTGGATGTTTGTGACTATTTAAAGAGCCCTTAAAATGTCTTACAATTAGAACAATCTAAAAATGTCTAAAAACTATAGATAAAAACATATCGATAATAGGCTCTAATGGTTCTGCATATTAATTGATATCCAGCTGTGAAATATGTGGCTACCTCACAAAGTACATTATATAGTTACTTTCATAAATCAAATGGGAACGTTAAGGCTATATTATTTCATTACAAAAGTAATTAATACAATTCGTCAAATCGCTGTAACGAATTATTAAAGGGACACGCGCAAGTATATTTAAGTGCAAGGTTAGTGATAATGAAAAATCCGTTAAAAAATTATTAGTGTAATCTGAAATCATTAATAACAATCAAGATAATGATGTTAGGACTATTTATATATCATTACCATTTAGCAAATAATTTTCTATGTAAATGTGAATGTGGAATGATCAATCCAATACTGACCTATGGGCGAAGGAGTGATGTAATGAGTAATGAGAAATAAATAATTTGTTTAACCAACATTTTAACTAATATTTAGGTGTTAGATTTTTCCTTATATAGTAGCTGCCAAAATCCTTAAAAATATCTTTAAAAAAATACGTCAAATTTTATTTAAAGCAAATCTAGTGAAACCATTTTTTTAAAATATAAATCAACAGGTTTAAAACATCTAAAATGACCTTAGAACTGTCTAAATAGTTTTGCCAAGGCCGTACTTCAAAATTTGAAATTAATGAAATTTTTCTATAATTTGTTTTAAAGTGTAAATCTTGATTTTGTAGCCAAATTAAAAATATCCCTTAATTACTTCTTACAAAAATTTATTCTATTAAGTTATCCATGAAAAACACATTAATATAAAATTAACATGGTACACATATTACTAAGCTTAGTTTTGACAAATAAAAAACGAAATGGAAACTTAAAACAAAGATGAAACAAAAAATAGAGAATTCCAAAAATTCTTTACAATTAGATTTTTGTCACCTCTAAATTTTTTTTGAGCGTTGGTAAATCCAGGGCCGTAAATAGATTTTTTTTAATTGCTAATATGAAATCCTACAATATCTCTTAAAAACTGACACAGTAGGCCTTGTCTTTTGTAAAAATATGGCGTTTTTTGCTCCAAAAATACAGTTTATCAAGATCTACACTTTAAAACAAATCGAGTTAAAATCGCACAATAAATATATAACACTGTATATAACTGTCTTAAATATATGTTTAAAATGCCTTAAAATTATTTAAATAATGTCTAAACCTACATCTTAAGACATGTATAATATAAATTCACTATCCAAAATTACCAAAAACTGTCTTATTTAAAAAAGGTCCCAAAACTATCAAAATTGACCCAAATTGTATTGGAACTTAAAATAAATGTCCTTAAAACTGTTTAAAATAACCGAAACTACATTAAAACTGTCTAAAATGACCAAAAACTGTCTTCAAATTATCTTAAATAATTGTTTCAAATGCGTAAAAATTATTACAAAAATGTCCTAAAACTATTAAACTGTTTTAAAACTATTTGAAATGACCCAAATTGTATTAGAAGTAGGTTGCAAACAAAAAAAAATGGGGGAAAAACTGTTTTTTCCCAGGCCTTGGAAAAATGGATTTTTTGTAAAAATTTGAATTTGGAAATACATTTAAAAAAAATAGCAAAAAAAATAAAACTAAATATTATTAAATTAAATAAGGTAATTTAAGAAAATAAACGTCATTTAAAATTATTTTAAAAAATTAAAATTATAATTTTATAAATCGATGTGTCAAATAAAACTATAGTTATGATAATAAAGCACCGAATATGTTTTTTGCGGCCCGGTACAATTTTTACTGAACTAAAATAAGAGGAATATAATTATTATAATCAAAATATTCGCGTCGGAAATTTACTATTTTCTCGATATAAGTGTACGGATATATCCGTAAAAATTGTGAAATTTTCAGAATAATTGACATTTGCATTTTAAGAATAAAATTTAAAAAATTAAAAAGTAAATTTTTCTGAAAATTTTACAATTTTTCCGTTTTTTCTGCCGACCCAATTTTTCCGGAAATTTTAACACCCTAATTAGAACCAGGGACCCGGACCGAAACCGAAAAAAACCGAAAACCGGAACGGAACCGGTTTTTTTTTCCGAATCGAAACCCGAACCGGAACCGTTTTCGCTTTTGATAAAATCTGTTGGACCGGAACCGAAACCTTTATTTGCTTTCATTCTAATAACATTATATAACATATATATTAGGGTGTGCCAAAAAAACTCGAAATAGTTTTTTTCTTGCTCTCCACCCAAAATATCGTAGAATATGTCCGAACAAATATTCTGTTAAAAGCGGAGCTCATAATTTCAATTTTAAGAGGTCCCTCATCGAATCTGAAGTTTTGCCGCTTAAATAGCACAGAAAACTGACCTTTTTACCTTATTTATTCTTGCAACCTAGGAAGAAATTTTTTTTTCATAAAATCCATGACCAAATCTTACAAAGCATTAAACTTGGACGAAAAAATCTTATTAAGCCGAATTTATATTTTCATTATTTAATTTTTTACAGAGGTTTAAATTTAAAATTTTACGTTTTTTGCCTTTTTCAGCTAAACTATTGAAGTTAGACGAAAAAGTCAAATGGTAATTTTTTAGCTTGTCTGATGGACCACAAAAAAGTTTTAGGCGAATTTTTTGTATCCTCAATATTCTAAAAGTTACAGGCGTATAAAGTCATCATTTTTGTATTATTATCTTTAAATTTGAAGCTATGTAAAAAATTAAATAATGAAAATAGAAATTCGGCTTAATAAGATTTTTTTGTCCAAATTTAATGCTTTGTAAGAATTAGTCATGGATTTTACGAAAAAAAAAAATCTTCCTAGGTTGCAAGAATAAATAAGGTAAAAAAGTCAGTTTTCTGTGTTATTTAAGCGGCAAAACTTTAGATTCGATGAGGGACCTCTTAAAATTGAAATTATGAGCTCCGCTTTTAACAGAATATTTGTTCGGACATATTCTACGATTTTTTGGGTGGAGAGCAAGAAAAACTCGATATTTTGTTTTTCTTGCTCTTTTTCTTGTATATATATGTGAGGTTATAGATTAAAATTACGTAAAACAAATAACCTCACTGGAACCGCTTAAAACCGAAAAGAACCGAACCGTTATAACTCCACGAAACCGAAACCGGAATCGGAACCATTAAAACGAAAATAGGGTGAACCAAAACCGTACCGGAACCGATATTTCATTTCGGTCCGGGTCCCTGATTAGAACTGAATAAAAATTTCCTTAAAACTGTCAAAAATGAGCAAACACTCTCTAAAAAAGTGCATTATTTTCTCTTTAATGGAGTTTCATCAAGTAAAGTTCGAAACAAAATTAAATATAAAAAAGCATTATTTTCTCATCCTCATACTTGTACTGTTTTTCTCAAAAAAACCCAAACCTTAATATTTATCTTTCTGCAGTAACAGAGTAAATGGATGCCTCCATATTTAAAAACTGAACAGGTAGGACAAATTTTAACAGCGTTGAAGGATGTAGGTAACAAATAAATATTAAGATAAATCTCAACACTTCATTAGATAAATAACCTTCTATCCTTATCTCTTCTACTTGTTTAGGGTTTCCCTAAACAAGACCGTTTAACGAACCAATTTGGACTCAAAAATCCAACACCTGCACCCTAAAGCTACCCGCACACCAAAACTTGTTTTTGCCGAAAAACTTACCATTTTGAGCGTTTCTTCGGGTCTCAGCAGATAGAACATGGACTGCAGATGCTTCTGGATGTTGCTGCTGAGCGAAGCCGCAATGCCGTCCATCATCATCGCCGACGCGAAACGGCCGCCGGCGCCCGCCGCGACGCTCAGGGCGGCGGCGGCCGACGCCGCCGATTTTTGCGCCTCCATTGCGTCCGGCAGCACGAGCGCCGCCCCCTTGCCCGCGAAGTAGCATTCGCTGAGGCTGCAAGAGAAAGAAAGTGTCAAAAAGTTGTCTCAAATAGTAAAAACATTGATATTATATATATATTACATAGATATAACATAGATATAACATAGATATAACATACATATAACATATATATAACATAGATATTACATAGATAATATTAGTTGTTTAAAACTTTATTTACATTCATTAAACTAACATTCCAGTCCAAAAAAGGTTAATTGTCGAAAAACATATTTTAAAAATGTTAATTAAAGATTATAAAAGTTTTAAAACATCCTTAAAATGTTTAAAATAGTTCAAACGAGATAGTAAATAAATTAAATAAAATGAAATGTCCTTGAAACAATTTTTTTAAAGAATCTATGGGAAATAACACTTGACTGAAATACACTATTGCTAACTTCAGCCCGTAACTATGAGTAGATAAAATTAGTTTTGTCAATATAAGTTATATTTATTAATTTTACTTTATAATATATATTACATAGATATTACATATATATTATTAGCTGTTTAAAACTTTATTTACATTCATTCCAGTCCAAAAAAGGTTAATTGTAGAAAAACATATTTTAAAAATGTTAATTAAATATTATAAAAGTTTTAAAACATCCTTAAAATGTTTAAAATAGTTCAAACGAGATAGTAAATAAATTAAATGAAATGTCCTTGAAACAATTTTTTTTAAAGAATCTATGGGAAATAACACTTGACTGAAATACACTATTGCTAACTTCAGCCCGTAACTATAAGTAGATAAAATTAGTTTTGTTAGTTATATTTATTAATTTTACTTTATGGTTAGTATAAATGTTAAAGGTTTACAAAATAAGTTTTATTTAAAAATAACTTATAACAGGTCAACTTATAAATAAGTAAATATGTAGTTATTTTAACTTAAAATGTTTGAATTTAAACAAAGAATAGGGACAGATAAAATAAAAAAAAACAAAATTATTTGGTTAAAACAATTAAGATATAACATCCCCAAAAAAGCAAATTTCTGAAATTGGTAGACCATAATTAAAGAAGGCTTTCAAGTTAATTACAGGTAGCCCGAATTAGTTTGGAATTAGTCAAGAGTTTCAGGAATAAAATTAATCGAACCCTCAATTAAAAACATCAAAGATTACCGCCGCTATATTCTTTCGTTTAAATCGTTAGATATATCTATATACTCTCTAAAAATATAATAGTCAAAATTCTACTATTTGAATTAGTAACAGCATTTTTACTAATAAAATAGTCGTTTTCACTTTTAAATAGTTATTTTTTACGACGTAAATAGTTAAAGTTTTACTAATTTAAGATTAGTCACCATCTTTGACTATTTCTTAGAGTTAAAAGTAACTAATTTCTTTAATCGTTTGCGGCCAACAACAAAGTATTATTTGAATTAAATGCATATACCTCTCCATGGTTAAATGACCCATAAAACAAATAAAGATGCAAAAAGTTTAGCTCAAAACAGCAACACAAATACTATATTCAACTTTAAAATATTATGAACAATATTTATTGACAAATAAAATTGATTTTTATAAGAGCGGCTGATAGCCGAATGGGTTATGACAACAGCTTGACACGCTTGACAAGTGACAGACCTGAGTTCAATCCCCGGCTGGGTCAAAACTTTTTTTAAATTTAAATCTACTAATTTGACTAAATATTTCATCCAGTAGAAGTATTAGTGACTGCTTCTTCGCTATGACAATTAGTCAAATATGACTTATAATTAGTTATTTTTGACTTAATTCATTTTAAGAGAGTATACTATAGTAAACATTTGTTTTGGTTAATATAGTTAAAATTATGCTAATCAAAGAACACTGCTGTCCATTTATTATTTTTATCATTCCTCACTGCTAATTTTGCATAAATTTGAATAAGAATTTGACAGTGGACACACTTAAAAAGTGGGTCAATTAATAAATTAACAGTACAAATGATGGTTTTTAATTCGCATTAACATAAAAGATTTTGGTATTATTGTACTTTTCCTTGATCAAATAAATAAATTGTTAGACATTACACAACCTTTTTTATTTCCCAAAACCTTCAATCATAACTTTAACATTTACCAAAATCTTAATTAAATGTAGCCTTCACAAAATAATTTATTATTAGGCATAAAATTTGATTAAAAGCTTAAATTAATTCATACATGCAGTCATTATAAACGACACGGTAAATTCACTAATCTTTTGTCGCGGTGCCAAAAAAAGGGAAAACGAAACAAAAATGTTACAGCCGTTTATAGACGTGATGCGAAAAACTATTTTTAACCGAAGTTCAACGTCGTAATTTTTCCTTTAAAACGCTCCTGTAGCCTTGCCAAAATTAGTAAAGTAAATATTTTCAGGCGGACTTTCCCAGCAGAGTAGGTGGTATACGAGGAAAATATTATCCAAGGAAATTTTTAAGACCGTAATTTTCCTATGAGATTTGCTTTTGGCAAACAATTTATTATGGAGTTTAATCAAAGTTTTAGCTTTAAATTTTTTTTTGCAATGTTATTTGAAAAAGTATGGTTTATGATCAAAATTGTATGGATTTTGATCGGAAAGTATGGATTTTAATCATAGTCTTAAAATACTTATTTTTGTTCAAAACGACCTTTGTGATGATTTTCAGAAAATTTGATCAGAAATTATGGATTTTAATCATATTAAAAGTATGGATTTTAATCGTAGTCTTAAAATACTTATTTTTGTTCAAAACGACCTTTGTGATGATTTTCAGAAATTTTCAGAAAGTATAGACCTTTGTGATGATTTTCAGAAAATTTGATCAGAAATTATGGATTTTAATCATATTAAAAGTATGGATTTTAATCGTAGTTTTAAAATACTTATTTTTGTTCAAAACGACCTTTGTGATGATTTTCGGAAATTTTCAGAAAGTATGGATTTTAATCATATTCTTAAAAGACTTATTTTCGTTCAAAACTACCTTTGTGATGATTTTCAGAAATTTTCAGAAAGTATGGATTTTAATCATTCTTAAAAGACTTATTTTCGTTCAAAACGACCTATGTGATGATTTTTAGAAATATATGAATTTTGATCAAAATACCATTAACTTTTCATCAGCATAATTGACAATAAGCTAAAATCAAATGAAAATGTTTTTAATTATAATCAAAATCTCAATACTGGAAAACTATGGATTATAATCATATAAAATATAGAGGGTATCAATATGATTTGTTGGAATGACATTTTTAATATTTAACTGTTAAAAAGTGATTGTCATGGTTTTAAATAAACACATAGGAAATATTAAAAGCATTGCATTTAAAGCTTCTAAAATAATAATAGTTTTTAAGCGTTTGAAAAGTAGGAAATGTACTATTTCGAGTAAAAATGCTTGGTATAATTTGTTTAGTCTATAAAATCGGTCATTATTAAATCAAATAAACATTGTTCAGTTAGGTGACACAAATACTATAAACAAAATCAATAATTATAAATAATGTTTGGATTATACATGCCAATAACATTTTTCAAAAAGCAATGTACTCACTGACATTTCTCTTTTTTTATATAAATAACCATTTAAAGGAAATCCCGCCACTTTCACGCAACAACAAAAAAACAAACTAAAAAAAGCTGACCTATCTAAACTGATAGCATATTCTGAACACACCACGAGGCAACATGGCACAGCGACAACACTGTACATTAATAACAAAAAAGTCTCTGATGAAAATTTTATGGCAAACGTGGCCCCATCGGAGGACACTGAGGCACACCGCACACACGTTTAACCGTTACGAAGTAGTTGAACCGACTAAGACTAACACAGACCGCCGCGGCGCGCCGAACGGGTCCCCACTTGGCAGTGATGCCAAGTCGACGCAACGCCGCGATGCACCGTTGCAATTATAAATAAAGTTGGTCGGTTCATTGATAGTATACTGTGTGCTGTATACGAGGTGTGTTCAGAAATAAACAGGAATTGTTAAATTACGCGGGTTCGGAGGGTCCGGTTGTCATAAAAAAAATTTTATTTTGTTGGTATACATGCCCCCGAAGTATGATAAAAACTTAAGCTGTTTTCATTGTTTACTTTGTCTGTGGCAGCCGCTAAGGTTAGACGTGTTTCATGAGCTCGGCGATTTTTCGTTCGTTAAAAGAAATGGATCAAAGAATTTGTATCCAATTTTGCTTAAAAAATTAAATAAATTCTGTGAAATGTTAACAAAACAAAAGTTTACAAGTGGTTATAAACCATCAGAGAAGTCGCTGATGATGTTGGTATACCGATTCGCTCATCCCATAAAATTTTTTCGAATGTTTTGGGTATGAAACGCGTGGCAGCAAAATATGTTCTAAAATTGTTAAATTTTGAACAAAATTGTTGGCCAAAAACAATACTGTAATGATGCCTCAGCCTCCATATTCGCCAGACATGCCTCTGTCTGACTTTTTCCTATTCCCAAAAATAAAGAGAACCTTAAAGGGCCGTCGTTTTGCAAGCATAGATGACATTAAAAGCGCATCGCTGAAAGAACTAAAGGCTATCCCAAAGATCGAGTTTTAGAAGAGTTTCGAGTATTGGAAGAAGAGCTGGCACATGTGCATAATATCCAATGGGGACTATTTTGAAGGCGACAACATTAATTTAGACGAATAAATAAATATTTGTTTCAAAAAACGAAAATTCCCGATATTTTCTGAACACACCTCGTACACAGCTTGGAAAAATTGTTTGCAAGGATTTTTGGAATAGTATGGATTATGATCAGGAAATATGGATTTTAATCAAAATTTGTTTCAGATAATCTATGGATTATGATCAGATTTTAAAAATCTAGAGTGAACGAAAAAATGTCAAAAAATTGTTTAAAACGTCAAATATTAAGTAATTAAAAAAACTTTAATAAAAAACTAAAGTTAATAAAATCATCAAGTACATTTGAAATGCTGAAATTTTAAAAAATCATCGTTAAAATTGTAAAATAGGTTTAAAACAGCCAAAAAGCTTATATTTCCCACATTTAATTATTT